CTGATGTGGCTACTGTGCTGTATATAGTGTCGCTTCCAGAGGACTCAACTCAAAATCTGATACCTTTAAATAATTGCTTATAATCCTTTTGATTTACTTTAGGAAAATTTACTGGGATTGTTCTTGTTTTTTCTTTATAGTTTGGGTTTCTCTTGGTTTGGTGTCATATTACCTGTTTAGTAAATGTTCAATGCAAGTAATGTAAAACTAGTTCTATTGTATTACTTTTACCTCTAGAAAGGTTTTAACATCTCTGTGTTGATGCATTGTTTCTGATTTTAGTAGCAGCATATGCAGCATGAATAGGTTCACAGATGGAAATAAAGACTTTCCTCTGCATAAAACACAAAGTCAACTGTTGATCCACACTGAATTCAAAAACATTTCTACAAACTGTTTGAGTTTTCATCAGAGAATCAAAGCACGCTGCACATCTATTATGAGGAGTTTCATATTGTATTCATGTTTCATGTTGTTAGAGGAGTCTTGAGAGTTTGGTTTCAGACTATATAATATGTTTAATACAAGACAACAGTATGTGCCCCATGGCTGTTTTAGGAGTGGTTCACTGCTTACATTATTTTGCAAACATTTACTTGGAACATTTACTTTTCATGGAAAAATGTTTTTTAAGTAAGTTTGATGCACACGGGTGTGAGAGAATTGTTCTTCTTCATCTAATCTTAATGTTATGAGATAGTAAGAGTGGATGTTAAGTGAAGAGTCAAGTGCTGCATGGTTGATGCGCTGATACTTTGAGCTGTCTAAAGATTCAATTTAATTCTGTTTACTGTTGATTATGAGTCATGATTTCTCTGTATGTTTTTCAACTGTATTGCTTTGTACAGCACTTTGATTGAAAGCGCTTTATAAATACATTTATTATTATTATTATTATTATTATTAATTAATAATGATTACACGCTGAAATTCAATACTATTTTATTTTTAATCATATGTTTGAAATTCCATTATTTTGCATTTGAAACAAAAATGGTATGCGTATATTTTGAATTTCTGCACTGTCTTGAGCTAAGAGTATTTTACTTCCTGTTTGGATACAAACCTGTTTTTATTTACAAAAATAAAAATAAACTTGTGATAGGTCTAAGATTACAACCATGAAACAGAGGAACTTGTTACAGATGGAAATGTTATTTTCCATCACTGTGCCTACAGGGAGACGTTGCTGTCTGTGTGGTGGCTTAGCTACGGTGCGCCTAAAGGGACAAAACAGTCTGCGATCAATGTGATTGAATTAAAACTGACAATACTCCTAAGTGTTATTATTTCTGTCTTGGATAGTTCCCAACTCTAAAACCTTAATGAATACGGTTGTCACTTACCGATCTGTCCTGAGACCTCGTTACTCTGACCGTCTTTAACCTCGACCTCTCCTTCTTCTCCGCCCTGTGAGATAGAAAGAACAGCAATTTAATGAAATACTGACAAAAGACAAACACAAACAACTGAGCATGGATGAAAGCAAAGATACAGAATCATGTAGAGAAGGGAATCTTGGAAACATCTTCAGAGATGTCATTTTGGGACTTTATCATCTTAGATACTTTGCCAAATATTTGTGTATGAGAAAGAAAATAAGCACACTCACCCTCCTGCTCACTTAAATGTATCCACATACTGTAGGTATGATTTTATGATAATAACTGTTTTTTTAGCATTGTGCCTAAAAATCTATTATGATTATGTCAAGTTCTTTATTCAAATGATGAAATGGTTTAAGCAGCTACGGCCAAACAATTGTGGAATGGCATTATCTCGTCAATTTGTCAAGGATAGTCGAGTGTTTCCTATTCCTAAGGACACAAGATAGGAAGCAAAGAAGCACCTTTCAGTTGGTTTTACAGAATTTGCCAGCTCTTATTATGGATGCCACTTAGTTCCAGGTCATTTCACTGAGTTAGAAACCTTCCTTAGCTGCTTTTTCCTCCACAGAGGGTCTGATTGCTCTTGCTAGTTTTGTCAGCTATGTTTAAATTTAGACGTGTCAGCACTTGCTGTTGGATTTTTTTCCCCCCTGCTGCTGATCTTGATTTTAACAATACAATGAAAGTAAGAAGAATCTCCAGTGTCTCAGCTAAGGGACTAGTTTGTCAATTCAAGACTCATTTTATAATTGAGGCTTGACAAGCCAAATGTGTTTTTTATACAAAGTCGTACATTATGCAGCTTTTAGTCTCCAGATATCTGCAGACAGCCAAACAACTGTGGCTGAGAAAGGACCCGCAACATCTGAGTCCACAGCATGAATTACCATAATGACTGAAGGGAGGATGTGAGTGTGCAGGCTATTCTTCACTTGTAATCCCCGGAGGGCTTTAATACACAACAAAGCTCTCTCACAAGAATGTTTGCACTTCTGTATTAGCAAATACTTATATTTCTCCTTTTCTCTCCAAACTGAGTCTTATAGCCACCTCAACTTACTCCTCCCTTCTCTTTTCTTCCAATGACATGATAAGGATGATATTCTATTTGAGAAGGAGTAGAGAGGAAGGTGGGGAGAGAGGGAGGGGTGGCAGTGGCGGTGGTAGTGAGAGGACTAAAAAGGAAAGAAGAAGGAAAGAGGGGAGGAATGGAGAAGCAGTTAAAAAAGAGAAAGGTGTAGAAGAAGGAAGGGACAACAAGATTTGGAGAGCAGAAACAGCAGGAGAGGAAGGAGGAGGAGTAAGGTGTGGCATGTAAAACTAAATGAGAAAGTGATGTTAGCAGATAGGATGAAGAGAAGAGATGGGATGGGATATTTGAAACAGAATGAGGAAGAGGAAAGAGAAGAGAGGAGAGGTGAGGAGAAAGAGGAGGTAAAGCAGGAACAGGAGAAGAGGATTAAAGTAGACTGTGAGAAGAGGAGACAGAATATCATAATGGGAGAAGAGAAGAAGACAGGAGAACAGGAGGTGGAGGAAAGAACAATTGGAAGAGAAGGAGAGGAGGGAAGGAGGCGAGAGTGAGAGGAAAGGAAGAGGACAGGAGGACAAGCTGGTGAGATAAAAAAGGTGGCCAAATCAAAAGGACAAGACAAGAGGAAGAGAACCAGACAGGGGATGTTTTGAGTTCAGGGCTCTAATAATGGCTAATTTCACTGATTAACTTCACCTTCAATCCCAAAATGACTACAGGACTCTATAATCATTCGTTCGACCAGAGTTCTCTTAATACAGTCTTTATTTACCATCTTTATTAAATAGTCAACATTTAATGCCTTCTGCTTTAACACCTACACCTCTAGTGACTGTACTTTTAATTTCCTCAACACTTCCTAATTCAAAACCTATAAAAAGAAAACCTTACTTCTTCTGTAACTATAACACAGCCCTTATATTACCCATAATGCAGCAGCCTATTACCCCAGATTCTCTCCACAAGCCTTCATTTTAACACCTCGGACTATTTATACCCCACCTTCTAAAACCCTAATCCCTGTTTCACTCTAATTTCAACAATCCCTCTCTTTCCATCCCTCCACTCTATCACTTTCCACACCCCTCCCTCCCTCCCTCCCTCCCTCCCCATCACCTCTGTCAGTGTCACAGACGGTAACAAGTCTTGTTCTAAAAATGGTCTCCTCCTCCCACCTCAAAAGCCAATCAACCTTTGTCTATCACCTGCTCCTCTGAGGAACAAGGAGGAAAAAAGGAGCGGTGAGAGGAGGGGGTACTGCTCTGCGGAAAGTTCAACATTCAGGAGATCGTTAAGGTCCTTTACTTCAGTAAAAAGTACAACAATCAAATACTGTCAGAAAATACTAATCTCTGACCTCCTGCGGCTGGGGATGACTCCAACTTCAGGGCAGTTTGGAGGCGGGGGGCTGAGGTGACGTGCGGGCCACCACTCCTCTTCGCCCGCACTGCTCACATGAAGGATATCCCCGAAATGAAATGGAAGGATCTGATTGGGCGCGCCCAGATCTGAAGTGCTTCCATCGTAGTCGAATAACGCTCTGCAAACAGACAGAAAAAAAAAGAGAAAAGAAATGATGTTAAATCACTTCACTGAACAGTCTGCTGGAACAGTCCGGGTGCAGAAACAGACACGTCAACCTGCATTCTTTCCACGGCCAGAAGGGGGCGACTTCACGGGCTAGTGAGGGAAATATGATGATAATTAAGTCTAGAAGGAAATTACCCTTTTCCCTCTTCATACTTATTCTTTCAATTAACAGTTTGAAATGAAGAGCATGTTTTTTCCCCTAAGCTATGGTCCCATTTAGAGCTAAAGAGATAAAGTGGGAGGACAGAGGTTTACTGATGCATATCCACCTAAGAAAACATTTAATGCATGAAACCGCCTAAAAAATATTAAACTGCTGTCAGGATGCCTTTCACTTCTCCTTCAACTATTGACAAGAACTTGACATCTTTAACTTCAACAAATATAAAACAAGAAACAGAGAGACATTTAGAATACAGAGAGAGAGAGAGATCTGTTGTAAATAACACCCAAAGCAGCTGAGGGATGCTTTCCTACACTATTTATGCATGACCTTGTCTGTTTGTACATGCCTCTGTATTCTTGTGTGTTTATGTGTGTGTGTGTGTGTGTGTGTGTGTACCGTACACATCTGTCTGCATGCATTTCAGTCTGTTTGTGCGTATTGTGCGCTGCTGTTTATGTTCACTGTGTCCCAACGGTGATCTGTCTCTGTGACCACAGACCTGTCCGCAGGGAGAAAGACCCAGGAAAGTAGGCCAGCAATATGTGTGTGTGAGTGTGTGTGTGTGTGTGTGTGTGTGTGTGTGTGTGTGTGTGCGCGTGTGCAAAGGAACTAGAGCTGAAATAACCGACATCCCCTAAAGTCCCTGCTGCCTTCATCAATAAAACAGAACATAGACGGAGAAGGAACCAGGAGAGAAAAGCAGAAATTAGACGGAGAGGTAGACACAGGGAGTCTGACAAAAACACCAGCTCATGATTTATTTATGTTACTTTAAAGACGATACAGAAAGACTTCCACTCAGGACTTTATGTATACAGCATGCCTGCTAAAACGGAATAGACTATAAACAAACCAGTCTTATATTATGGTTAGAGGGTCAACAGTTCAAATGATTAGATTCAGTGACAGCTGACCTTTTCAACCACTTCTAGTGAAAATATATTTTTATACATCAGCGGAGTGTTCTTATAACTGGATAGAACTTGGACTGATGTCTTGAAAGTTTCCATGGAGAACTCTGTACTTCTTGTTAACAGATTACAGTTAAAAATATCCTCTGATGTGGCGCCTGTAGCGTAGTGGTTAGTCAATACGGCCAATGTACAGAAGCTATAGTCCTCCAAGCGGGTGGCCAGGATTCGAATCCGACCTGTGACTCCTTTCCTGCATGTCATTCCCTACTCTCTCTCTGTCCCTGATTTCTGACTAACCACTGTCCTATCTCTAAATAAAGGCAATAAAAGTAAAAAAATAACCTTTAAAAAAAGCATCTAAGTAAAGATCATTTATTTTGTTTGTTTATGTCCTCTTGTATAACTTCAGCAAAAATCATGTTTGGAAAATAAACCTGTTTTATGTGAAAACACTGTGGATAAGGATTGTTGAGGATCAAGCAAATAAAATAATAATCAGAAAAACTGTAGATGAAACAACTATTTTGCGATGGTTTGGGGAGCTTTGTCGTAATTTCTTTGTGGTCTGTTCATTCTTTAAAACCGGGGCTCCGGTGGCCTAGAGGTTAGTGTGCACTCCCCATGTATGGTGGCTGTGGTACACTGGGCGTGTGGCCCGGGTTCATGTCCGATCAGGGGCTCTTTTTTGTTTGTTCCGTGTCGTTCTTCACGCTCTCTCCCCCGTTTCTGACTCTATCCACTGTCCTATCTCTAAAAAAAGGCTGGGGAAAAAAGCCCCAAAATAAACCTCTTTAAAACTGTGCAACCTTAACACAGCTTCATTATTCACATATCAAAACAGTCAAAATGAAAACAGTGCAGCCGTTGATTCAAAGCTATATTTAAAGCTTAATTTATAGCTCTAATTCTATAGATTTAGAGCCGATTTATTTGCTTTTCAAACCAAAATAACAAAGCATTTGTAACTTGAGGTCATAGACTGTTTGATGCATTCTTCTACAAGTGTTTGCAGCTGGTTTACTGAATGAAACAAAGACTCACAAAACTTCCTTTGATCAAACTGAAATAATCACAGCAAATCCAGTGACAAGTCCTCAGTCTGTTATCGTCACATTCACTCATAATTTAGAAGAAAAGATTAACATCTGCCCCATTAATTAGCCAAATTCTGTCAGCATCATTTCAAATAATTAAAACAAATGGATCTCTCACCATGGTAACAATACTTGGCTGATCGTGTTACTGTTTTTTTTTTAGGCCTATCTAATCCACAGGCACCTCCTCCCTCTGCAGAACTCTTCTTCCTGTAATCTTTGTGGCCGCTGATGAACATTTTCTTTTGGTCTATTTGTTCAAACGACTGATGATGATGAAGTCAGAAAAAGAGGAAGAAATTGAAAGACAAAAAACATTTCCTTAAAAAATAGTCTCTATTCAAATCTAACTAAATGTCTAACGTGTCTTACTGGAAATATTCTTTGTGTGTGCTGAACTGTGACAGTTTGAGTAAATTGGAAGTGAACAGACGTCTCGCTCAGTTGACCTGAAAATAATTACATGGATCATTTAAGGAAAGTAGCTTGGAAGTTAAAGTTACCTTATCTTCAAAATCTACAACGGAGGTGTCATTTTTTAATATTAGACTATACATTAAATGTATAGATATGTACATGTAGATATATGGTTTCTTCATGATGCAGTGGTACAGAAGCCTAATGTGCCAGCAGATACACAACACGGTGAAATATTTATAGCTGCTCGTTATTATCATGAGAGATGTAAATGTTCTAAAATAGTAAAGACAAGAGCGAGCAGGCGTATCATAGCTGTGTGATATTTACATCAGTGGGTCAGAGACTGAGTCAAAGATAAACAAGAGCACTCTCATTAAAGCAGATCCACACATCCCAAATGACTTCACAGCTTCTGTGTAACACTGATGAATAGTGTGTTGTATTATTAAAGTTACATGTAAGTGTGACCCTAAATCAATTACCTGTTCTCAGTATAACACTCCAGTGAGTAATTCCTGTGTGGCAACTTCTTGAAATTCAATTAAGAGAATGAAGGAACACGCTAATTACCTCAGTGTAATCCTGCAATATCGCAGTGTGTGTGATAACCCGTGGAAACATGTTCCACTAAGCACTAACACTTAATAGTTGTAAAATATCACTGTTGATGATCTTTGTTAAATTTAGTCAAATAAACTGCAAGTAAAAGGTTACAAGGAATACTAATTACATTAGGTGGAGGGTAGCATTCACATCAGGAAGTCCATATGAACAGAAAAGAGCAGTGGGCAGATCTGAGACTGTAAATTACCTTTCTGTTCTTTATCATGTCATTCATCAAGGTGTCAGTGTTTGTAGAAAGAAATATACAATAAAGTAAAATGTAAAGGCAAAATATCTCAAGAGTTAAACACATCTCATAGAAAACATTTGAAGGAAGCAAGTTACAGTGATGGATTGTTTCTGGACTTATCCAGACACATGTAGATGTGACTTTAAATCAGCATCCAGATCCCATTTTACAGTTATTTGAATTCCTCGGTGGAAACCTGTGACATCTCATTACTTGCGCGAAGGAACAAATGCAAATCGCTGCAGAGTGTAACAGAAACACAGCGGCCTTTTCCACTGAGTGCTGGGGACATTTTAAACATTAAATCCTATGTTAGTGTTGTTTTTGCACAGCCAGCAGCCAACTGTGAAAAGTGCACTGCAGTGTGGCTTTTTCCTGTAATCTATAGGATGACTGCATACATGCAGTTTATTTCAGAGGTGAATATAACTCTGTGATAATGCTTTCTTCTGTTCTTTTCTTTACATTTTTACACTCTAGATGTGATTATTATTTATTTAAAAGTTCGAACACATTCAATCAGCCCCCTTTAAACCCTGATATTGAGTTGCAAGGAGCAAATGTCCCCGAGCCTTTTGCTTACTTTTATGAAATGCTTTGAAAGTGAATATCTGCACCAGAGATCAGTACAGAGAGATTTGTATCAGTTTACGTTGCCCGGGGAGACACGAGTCGAGGTATTCATGCAGTCCTCACAGCCCAATCAGTGCATCGATGTTTTGTTATAAATCTCCAGATAGAACCCTTGTAGACTACGAGTGTGTTTACATATTCTTAATTAGAGTGAGATATTGAGTTTTTTGCAAGGAACATGAGAAACCTGTTTATATATTTCATGATATAAATCATCATGAGAGGTTTCTCATAATCTGTGTTCTGTTGTGCCTTTACTTCTCACCCTCTCAGTCATCATGTTGTCCAACAATAGAGATCAGACACTTTGATGTTTACATGCTGCAGAGTGGATTCTGGTTTCTATCAAAGTACTTCAGGTAGATATCTAGATTTCTGAAACCATGAACATGACTGGGATATTTCAAAAACGACGATAAGCAGAATACTAGTGAATGTAAATATGTAAATGTGCTCCAGAAGTACCATGATTAATCTACCACAGTGGATCTCGGCTGAAGTCTGATAATCTATCAGTATAGATTACTCACACACACCTTTCTCACAAAAGACAGTGGTATATTTGTCTGTCGCCTTGCGTCAGTGACATTTCCTCTGCAAAAAGGTTAGCCTGTGTCTTCTCTATCTGTATGGACATGCATAGTCGCAGAGAGCACAGACACCCTCAATTCGTCATGCACCAGCAGCCTCATCTAGACCAATCAGCTGCCAGTATGAGCCCTGCATTTTTAATATTTGACGCTGATTGGTCAATTAGGGGCGGTACCCAGATACCGTACCTTCCCTGTATGACAGTGATTTATCATCTGGCTTGTTCGGGGGGTAACTGCATTATCCTATATATAACCTTGAATAGATTGTGGCCTGATTTTAAAGAGACATGGAGAAGCCTTCTCATTAATATTCAGAATGTAAAGTGATTAAGTTGTCATGGCAGGTTGTCATGGTAGTTATCTGATCCGTGCATATTTCTTTATTAAATCTACACTTATACAGTCATGTACAGGACAGTCTGCTGTATGAAATATTCATCCATGGCTGCTGGTATTTCTCAGAATATGACCAAATACCTGCAAAACTAATACAGTGTGACTCTACGTCTACTGTAGTTTGTGTTTTAGGCTAATTAGCGAACATTAACGTGCTAACATGCTGAACCAAGATGGTGAACTTTGAAAACATTTAACTGCTTAATGGAAGCGTGTTAGCATTGGCCCTATGAGTATATTAGCATGACGGTATTAGCATTTAGCACAGATAACAGAGCCGTCATCATGTAGACTTGATTTCTTGTTGTAACGTCTTTGGAGGGATACTGTTAGCTGAATTCCCTCATGCACCCTGCTGTCTTACTTCATCAAATGCCAGATGATGGATGCTAAATCCATGAGAGTGTTGAGCTTCAAATCAAGTGAGGAATCAAACAAAGAGCTGCCTTACATGTAGTTTATATAAGCTGCTGTTATTGGTGTTATGAGATCACTTTCATTTGCACAAAAGTTTTTTAATTTTAAATGGAACATGATGAGTTTATTTCTCAGTCATGTGTTTCAGATGATCTTTAGTTCAGGTAACTTTCTAACTATGTTATATTTGTTTAACAAAAAATGATATTATTAAGTTTCTTTTATTGGTATAAAAATGGCATCTTTAAGTTCATTACTGTTTTAATTGAATTGTAATGATTTAATTAAATTAGGTGTAAAGAAGCCTCTTCTCCTCATTTTATCCCCAAAACAAAATACAATTTCAAAATATAATTTATGCCTAAGGGTCAGTTCTTACAATCTTTAATTAGGATGATGACAGCCAGCTGTGATGTCATGTTTCCTCATTTGTTCTTGGATCGTTTGTTTTGATTTTGTGTAAGCCAAGAAGGTCATTCGTGGTTTCCCAAAGTACTGTGAGTCCACTGGCACAAACTTACATGCTCTGTCAGAGATGGAATCAAATGAAACAAGTTCATACAGATTTAGTGGCATTTTCTGTAAACCAGCGCGTTTGAATCAACCTTTGGGCACAAAATGTTGGACTACTGATCCCAGTGTGCTGAGTGAGACTCTCTAGCATGCGGTGTAAGTGTGACTCCTGCTCTGAGTGTGAGTCAGTGTATGTGTGTCCGTATAGTTCAAGGTTACTCTGACCGCCTTGCTGCTGCTGCTGCTGCTGCTGCTGCTTCCTGTTCCTTCAAGGCCACTTGCACTCAGCTCAGGTCAGACATTGTTTTCATGCACAGACCTTGTCGGCTGTAGTTTTCTCTGAGCTTGTATTGTTAGTATTTTTTTTTCTGTCCCTAAATCTGGTCATATCTTTGCAACTTTAATGTGCATTACTTTTAAAAAGACAGTTTCCGAGCTCCTTTACTTTCAGAGCCTTTACATAGTTACTATAAATACAATCAGAAAATTAAATATCCACTAGGACTTCTCCATTTTGACAAAGATGGATCAGAAATATATACATTTATATTAATTTATAATTTTTAACTTACCATGGCCGTGATACAATGTCATAAAGCACAAATCTATTATTATTATTATATATTTTTTTACCGTAATTTAAATAACTGAAGCTAACTTTTGCTGTTGTTTATTCTTTGACACGTTGTGAACTAAAAGATCATCCTTTTTTCTCCTTGAAGCCTTTTAGATTAGAGCGGCTTTCCTGTCTTTGTTTTCCTTTTATTGATCTCCCAGCACCTCCCAAGTGACTTCTTTGTACCCGAGCGACCTCGTGTTTAATCAATGCTTTAAATGCTTGGATTCATGTGAGGAGATGATCTTGAAAGCGCAGGTTGTTTTAGGCCTGACACTGCTTGTGGGCTCTGCAGAGGAAAACACAGAAAGTTTGGGCTAACTTAACAGCCAGGACAGGCAAAGACAAGGACACACACACACACACGCACGCACGCACGCACGCACGCACACACACACACACACACACACACACAGAGTAATCAAGATAGTTGACAGCGATGGATGTGTTTGTGTGTTGGGTAGTTTTTTTTTTTTTTGCCAGAGAATCTAATTGTGATCCTGATGTGATAACCTCTCTTTCAGCGTCTCACACACACACGAAGCAGAGCTGACAGCTGAGATAAGACCCTATAATAGTTGTGTCACGCTGAAGGACACTCGACAATCAGTCACCTCTGGGTGTCCGCTGCGTGCGTGTGTTACCTGACATAGAGCGTGCGTTTCTGTGTGGAGCGGAGCGACGTGGAGCTGGAGCTGACACTACTGGTCATCATCTGTTCCCTCAGGTCATGGATCTTGGCCTCGAATCGACTGTACTCTGCACACACACAGACACAGAAAAAAAAGAAGAAAACACTGTTAGAAGCAGAAGATTTCAGGTGACAGGTTTAAAAAAGTAATAGAAAAGTATTGAAATATCTATAAAGAATCTATTTTCAGCTGCTTTTAGGAGCGACCTGTTACTCTGCATTAGCAGCAGCTGACTGACAGTGATTTTTACGCTCCAATCATCTGGGCTCAGTGGTTCAGAAGCATTACAGATCAAAAAAGAGGAGCAGGGACATGAACACACACAGCTTTAATGGAGGTAGAGGTTTTTGCACTCTGTTAACCACATCTTCTAAAAATGGATGTAGTACAACAAGTACAACGCGTGTTTTAGGTTTAAAAGTGCGAGGAGTTTGTTACTGTGTGTTCAAGAAGGGGGATTCTCTCGTTCTTTTACTTTCCTGCTTAGCAACAGACAGCCCCACACACACACACACACACACACACACACAAACACACACACGAGCTAATGGACATGCAGACTGGGGCATCATCGAATAGTCTGTTTGATCCAAATATTAACTTGTGTTGCATCAGACCCGGGCCATGCCAATATCATCATAAACACACATTTACAAGGTCATCTGCACACACACACACACACAGACACACACACATGCACAGCCAGAATGATTCCACAGCACTGACTCGTGCATGTCATTGAACTCCTAAATATCTGCTTACAGATCCTCCTCAGGTAGGATGTGTTATTATTCATAGATACCAACATTAGAATGTATTTATTAAGATACATTCATCCTCCAATGTCCACGGGAAAGCATTCATCCTTTAGTCATTCATTTTTTTCTGCTGCTCTTACTCCTGTTTTGTGTCGTTTTCCCGCGTTTTGTTTATTTTATTTCTTTATGTGCAAACTCATTTGCCCATTGGGGAAAAAATACAGTGATTTTAACTAAAATGAATGGAGCTTCAAGCTATGTACAAAGATGGTGTCTCAGTTCTCAATTGTTCCTCTAACCAGCAGGAAGATAAATCAACGAGCACAAAAACAAACATAATTGAATTTGCAGCACAGATCAGAGATGTGAGCAGAGAGTCAGAGGTCTGAAACCACACGTGTGACTGCAGCTGCCTGCATGTTGTTTTGTAGGTGGAAAATCTGCACTGAACACAGGCGTCACATTATACATGCACACTGGGCTCCCACTGTGACGTTCAGCCATCTAAGCAGTGGTGTGACATGGCATCATTGGAGCAGCATTTTCAAGTTATTAGTCAGTGTGCATACATGCACATATGCAGGAGTAAAACTGAATAACTGGAAACACACAAAGCTGAAAGTGGAAAAAAAAACAAAAAAACTTCAGAAAACAGTCAATAAAAACACAGGCGCTATAAATGAGTTTACCTCCTTTTTTGGTAATTAAAAATGAAACCAAATTGCCGCCATGCTTTTTGCCAAAAGTATCTTAATACACTTAATATGAGCCACATTCACCTGGTAAGTCCAGATAAACATTTTACTTCAGGATGCAACGAGCAAAAAATTAGGCATTGTTGCTTGTTATAGGTATCTAGAAATGCAGCAAGCAAAATGTACATTAGCGTCTTGAAAGTGTCACTTACAATCTGAACTAGTTTAGTACATCTCATTTTAAGTACATTTTGCTTGTTTCCTCTTTTGACTTTTACCAGAACAGAATAGAATAGAACTCCTCGGCTTTACAGGAACAAGAACAAAAACATGATGACAAACAAGACAACATTTAAATACAGCGAGAGATTAGAGGAGCGCTTGGAATCCTTGACTACATCACAGTTGATTGGTTTGTTGTTTGTAAATAAAAAAACATTTTTTTAGTTATGTAGTAAGTCAGAGTTTTGAAAGAGTCGTTTCATAAAACATTGCGCAGTTAAAGGTTTCAGACCTCGCAGATACTGGGCAGTAATATTCACATGGGGGGGTTGTTTGTTTTTTAACTTTACTTTATGAATTTAATAATTCAATTGCACTTGGGACAAATAATATTTTATAAACAGACCTGATGGAAGCACTTCAAGATGTCGGTGCAACGGATGAGAGGGGTCACTTGTAATGTCGAGTGTGCCTGTCACTAAGTGACATCTGTGGTTTCCCTCAGATTTTACTGGCTGAATCGTACTGAAGTTTAAAAATCTGGTATCCTAAAACCTATTCCAATGCATTGAGGGGCAAAATAGGATTTATTTTTCTCCCTGCTCCTTTCCGAACATGGATGGGGATAAAATTGTGAATCTTTTTTTTTTTGTGAACATTGAGTGTTTTTTGACATGAGCGGAACAAAAAAAAGAAATTAAATGAAATTTGATAGAAGTTTCCCTTAAAAACAATGATGTATTTCCAAACAGCACTTTATGTTTCATTGCAGCTAACAGTATCCACGTGTCACTTGAATGACAAGTAGTTAATTGAGAGTGAGAGAGCCAATCAGTGCAAAGTGCATCGCTTCATTCATACACTCAGCACACCATCTCTGTTCTTTAGTATCCTCCTGCAAAAACCATCAGAGCCATTTCCTTTTTAGTGGCCATAAAAATGTCAGCGTGCCTCTTTAATTATAAATGTACATTTTTAATGGAAATGCACAAAGTGAAAAAAAAAAAAAAGCAAATGACATGATGTGTTCTTTAATGTGTGTCTGTTGTTTTGAGGATGATCGTCTTCTTCCAGCAGAACAATCATTCTACCCGCAGATTGCTGTCTTAAAAAGACATTAAATTGTGATATTTCTCATTCACGGTGACAGCGGAAATATGTGTCATAAATCCACACTGACTGCCCTCTAGTTTTCTTAACACCACACAGCTTCACAGAAACCTCTGAACTAACACTCGGATAACAACGCCGCTGGCAATGAGCGCAAAAAAGCCCCTCTGAAGGATGTCCTTGTGTGTGTGTGTGTGTGTGTGTGTGTGTGTGTGTGTGTGTGTGTGTGTGTGTGTGTGTGTGTCTGGACCATTATTGTGTGGATGGGAGAATCTAATTAACCCTGAGTAATTCAATCATACTGGAGGTACACACGGTCATGCACTCACTTACACAGAATAACACACACACACACACACACACAAACACACACACGCCCCCACACACACACACAAGCACACACACACGCACACGTTAAACCTTCAGTATCTCTTGGGTTTTCCTAATTTTCCTCCCCTTTTCTGTTTTCACTTTACTTGTTTATCTTCCTACACGCATGTTCAGCATCTGAAAACTGTCATGAAGCAGCCTACAGCAGCCAGATCTCAGCTCTGATTTCCCCCCACAGCAATCATTAATCTGACACATCGACACTCACAGACACAAAAAGATAAACTTTACTAAAGCGCCTGAAAGCAACATACGTTTTGATTCACTGAAATGCTCTGAGGAACATGATCTTACAGGCTTTTCAAACAGTACACTGACTATACTGGTAAAAGACGATTTACCTGCATGTGTCCAGTATTTTACTTGTTACATTCAATTCAATACATGCTATAAGACAAAAAGAAAGGTTTAAAATCAAAAACTACAGATAAAACTGCCTCCAAATTGTTCATAACAAGAACTGGAAGTTAGATAGACGAGCTAGATAGATATATAGATAGATAGATTGATAGATAGATAGATATTTTCAGTCTTTTAGTCAGACGCTTGTGTCCATTACAAATCAATTAATTAGGGTTTGTTTTCAACTCCCATCCAAATACTATGGTGCAGATACTGTATGAACACAAACACCAGCAGCAGCAGTGGCAGCATGTCTGTGTCAACACACATCGCCTCCACACAGCATTATGGGATTAAGAGCAAGAGAGAGAGAGACAGAGAGAGAAGCAGGCAGGGATGAAACAAGAGTGAATAAAAAGAGACAGATAAGAGAGGCAGAAGAACCAGATGAATGAGCCCGCTCACATCAGATCCAGTGAAGTAAAGAATAAACTTCATCAGTGTGAGGAGAAAGCGAAGAGAAGAGAAACCGTTGTTGGTCTTTATGACCCGTGGAACAAAGCCCGTGTTGCAGCTTAGATATTAGCGTAATTGAGTCCTGAAGAGAAAGACAAAAGCCGACGGTGCCGAGGCTTCATCTCTGATCATCTTCTGCTTTAAGAGCAAAGAAAAGTGCTGATGTTTAAAAGTCAGAGCTGCGAGCTTCTCTTTTTTTTTTCTTTGAGTCTTAAGACTAGAGAAGACTACCAAGGCTAGAGAACAAAAGTGAGACTGTTGATACTACTACACACACACATACACCCCAATGTTTCCACATCACTGATAATGTCTTTGCACTGTGAGAGCCATCAGAGCAAAGACAGCGTTAGAGCCAACATGTTAGTGCTGCATCACTGGTCATCAGAGGGCTAACAGAGTCACAACAAAAACAGATTCACCACATTAAGTCTGTCACTTTGCACCATTTTCATCCCCAAAAAAAAAAAACACAATCAAAACTTCACTTCACAAATGCTCTGATTTGATCTTAAAAAAAAAAAAAGATGCAATGACATTTTGTAAATCGGTCTTTCAACTTGTGCTCAGCTGTACTCACATGCTGCTGGCAGACGTCCTCACGATATGATGATGAAGCCGGTACGCTTGATTTTGGATGTGCGTGTGAGAGACAGGGGTTTTTGCAGCTTTCAGTCAGTTAAAAAAAAAAAAAAAAGAGATAGAGAGAGAGTGAGCAGATGTGTGTGTCTGTGTCTGTGTGTGTGTGTGAGTGTGTGTGTGTTATGATGGAGACGATTTAGCACCGGAGCCAGAGTGAAAAGATGTAAACGTGTGTGGAAAAGGAGTGTGTGTAGGTATGCAGTCGCGCTCTTGTGTGTGTGTGTGTGTTTAAAATCAGTCCAGCGCTGCTCAGCTGCCACAGCAACAACAGATGCTAACTCTCTCTCTACTACACTCATCTCTTTCTCTATATCTCGTGTCGCTGGTGCGTCCGCGCTGCTTTGCTCCTCCCCCTCTTTGACAGCAGCTTGCTGTAGGGCGGAGACACACAC